CCCCCCCCCCCCCCCGCCACCAACCACATGCACACATACCATAGAACTACTACCTGCATCTGGTAGTTAAGATTCCCACAAAGATGCCTCTGCTTTTTAAGAAGACTAAGCTGTGTCTTGATTTGTACTAATATTAAAGTATATTAACTGAGTGCATTGAAAGCAAATACTATATGAGTCCATGTAGTGTTTTTCAAAGGATGCATCCCCTTAGCATCTGTTGTGAGCTTTTTTGATACGTGGAGGTAGTTCTCATTCCTCTTTACTAATAACTCCATCATTAAACCAATTAATAATCAGCATGTCTCCCCTCCCTAACTATTTTCAAATTACAAGAAATATATATGAACTATAAATTGATGGTGCTCTGCCTGGATGTTCTTGGGTCTGTGACTTACTGGTGCAGGAGATCGAAAGCCCAGCTCCCCTGAGTCCAGTTATGGCACATTCTGGGATGTGGTTTATGCTCCAGAGCTCTACTCTGGATTCGGCTGACGTTAGGGATTTGCCTAAAAGTGTACCCTTGGCTGTCTCCTTCTTCTTCTGCTTTCCCTCTCTTGCCCCTCCCTCCCCATTCTTCTCCCCTCTTCCACCACACTCCCTTACAGAATGAAAGAGTATCTCTTTAACAACATTCTCGCACACAAATCCTCATCCCGGGGTCTGCTACTGGGGAAATGACTTAAAATTCTGTGCAGTGGAAAAATTCATTTCATGCTGATGAAAAAAAGGTATTTCCTGCTGATAGATGGAAGAGTTGCTGTTTCTGGAGCAAGGAATGTATGCATATCTGCTTTATCAATCAAGAGCTCGGAAGGAAATGGTGGATTAACTCCAATTAAGTATTTGGAGAATAGTTCATAAAGGGACTAATTACAAAGGGGTGGGCTGGGTGCAGAGAAATAAGGGCAGGGCCTGCCTGGAAACTGATCACAGGGGGTGCTGTTCCTAAGCCCCACTGGTGTCTGGAGAATTGGTGACAGAGTTGTGTGGACAGGGCTGTGGCAGAAGCTGTGGTCTCAAGGGGTGCAGCCAGCCCACAGACACCCGATAGAGGGCAAGCTGGCCAGAAAACACCCCCATCTCGTGCTCCCTCATTCCTCTCATCTTTTACCAGTGACCCCATGAGCTGAACCTAATGGGAAGCCAGGTGCAAAAGGGCCCCTTCATGCAGTACATCCAAGCTGGCTGCTTAGGTCATGGGGCGGGTGGAGAAGGTCAGAGAGGGCATCCAGAGGGACAATCAGGAGCTATCCAGCACACCCACCTACCTATTCTCTCTCTCTCTCTCTCTCTCTCTCTCTCTCTCTCTGTGTCTGTCACACACACACACACAATTTGCCTGTTCTTGACTTTGGCCTATGAACAGACACACATAAACTAGTCCCTAATTTTTCTCTCTGCTGATCTTGTTTTATTTATAGTTCGGGGACCCAGAGATAGGCTGCATGATGTTGCTCATCATGTAGCCTATCAATAATCAAGAATTGGACAAAATATATTGTTACTTTTATTAAAGTCTGGGTATGGTAACTGGGCATTTCCACAGTAGCCCCCAAAACCCCAGCCTCTAAGATGGCATTTTTTTTGTAGATTGAAATATGACTCACAGAGCTTACTACCATAAAATTTATCATCATTTTCACCTCCATACTTTGGTGTAAAGAGCTCTAATTTATATCCCTAGAGAACCATACCCATTTTCTCCCAACTGAAAACAAAATACAAATCAAAGATTTATGTGTTTGTTTGTTTTTAAATAACATATCTAATTGCTTTCTCATCAATCCAGGTGCAAAGGTGCCCTCATTATTCAGTTTACTCCTGACTGTCCTCATTATTGGAAGCAATGCTCTCTTTCTATTGGTCTCATTTTCTGTTTTTGAAATGGTCATTTTCCTCCCAAGCAGCTTTGGCCTGATTCAGAATAGAAAGCACTGCAAAATGTGCAGACTGAAAACAAAAGATCACTCAGTTAATTCAAGGTCTTTGAGATTAATCATGGAAAGCAGCATCCTGGTGCTTGGGATGCTAGCAGGGGCTGATGTGGGTGAGATGAAGGACAGATGATGGAGAAGAACCACCTGCACACATCCCTGGAGGGCAGGCAACACACAGCAGTGCCTTCTGGGTGTCTAGCCCTCTCTCTGCTGGGTGCTCTGCAGACTCAGACACAGCTGAGCACAAAGCAGGCAGGCCGTGGGAACACGCATTAACAAATGGCCTACACAGGGCTGTCATTTCTATGTATTAAAATCCTATATTTTAGACTATTGTCTTCTGAAATTTTATTTTTAAGATACTATTGGGTGGGGAGTGTCCCAAGGTTTTAGAGGGTGGTGATTTTTTAAAATATCTCGTAACACCGTGTTTCATTTTGAAGCAGCTGTTCGCATCACCCATGGATCCTCATGGAAGGTAAGTGTCCAGGGTGGTTGGATCCCATCTAAGGAGTCTGATGGAGTCGCTGTGAGATCATCTTGAGCAAGGCACCCAACCCTCACAAATTCCTTGTGAGAAGGAACGGGGTTAGATGAAGTTAGAATCTTCTTGTTCTAACATTGCACTGTGGGCTATAGTAGCCATTGGCCACATGTGACTAGTCTGAATTGAGATGTGCTGTCAGTATCAAATACTCACCACATTCAAAGACTTATACAAACATGAATGTAAGTTATATCATTAAAAGTTTTTGATATTGATTACATGTTGAAATGATAATTTAAGGTTGTATTGGGTTAAATAAAATATAACAATTTTACTAAGCCACTGTTTACATTTCTATTGGACAGAACTTTTTAAAAATGTGTTTAGTTGTTAGTTAGCTATTTTAAAATATAGGTTTCTGGGTTCCCATGTCTTCTGGATGCACAACAAATTCTAATAAACTTAAAGGAGTCTTTCTTGGGAAAAGAAATTATATCATTTTCCATTCAAAGGTCTTTTTTAAAAAAGGTAAAAATGTCGGGGCGCCTGGGCGGCTCAGTCAGCTAAGCGTCCAACTTCGGCTCAGGTCATGATTTCATGGTTCGTGGGTTCAAGGCCCGCGTCGGGCTCTGTGCTGACAGCTAGCTCAGAGCCTGGGGCTCGCTTCTGATTCTGTGTCTCCCTCTCTCTCTGGCCCTAACCTGCTCATGCTGTCTGTCTCTCTCAAAAAAATAAACAAAACATTTTTTAAAAAAAGGTAAAAATGTCATGTCGTTTTGGCTAAGTGTTCAAGAGAGTGTGAAGGGAAGGAACACCAATGCTTCTTAAACTAGAATTTCATTTTCTTTTACTTTGAATGAAACTGGAGTGTCAGTCTTCAGGCATGTATAGTTTTTAGTTTCTTAAACTAGAATTTCATTTTCTTTTACTGTGAATGAAACTGGAGTGTCAGTCTTCAGGCATGTATAGTTTTTAGAATAGTAGAGCATTTCCAGATTCCAGGCACATGAAAATCGGTGCTTCCCAAAGTGAAAAAACAGGCCTCCTTCCCTGCCACACACACACACACACACACAGAGGTTGCCTCTTCTCCATGTGAGCACCAACCAAGTGTTTGGAAAGCACCGAAATGCTTAGTTCATGAGCTCCAGAGAGCACATGTCCAATAGCAACTTCCTGCTGTGCAATAGCCACTAGGTCAAATAAAAGACAGTAGACAGAGACAGGGTATCAAATATGCCTTAGGACTGATGAGCTGGGCAGAAAGGGCAGCACAAGGAAGATTCAGAGGCACATCAGAGTTGAGTAGAAGGAGGGTAGTTTGTCTGGAGACACTGAGCATCCATTCCTCTGCAGGGATCAAGTAAATGCTTGCCTATCAGGAAGGAAATCTAGGACCTGACATGGAAGACCATGGCTTGAATGACCTGACAGAAGCTGTGTTTTAGGGGACTCATCCCTCTCTTCCCTGTCATGCTATATATGTGTATCCTCCCAACTGGATTAGATTAGAATCCTGTGCTGCCTCCCATTCTTCCCTTACTCTCTCCTGTGCGTGTTGTTTGCTTCCCAAGGGAGAATGATACATTCAAGGGCAAGGGCCAAGGTTGATGTTTCTTTTGAATATCTCATGATTTCCAGGACAGTAGTAGGCAGACTAGGTACTTAGTGCTTACTTAAAAAAAAAAAAAAATTGTGCTGAATCCATGTATCCTCTTCTTTCATATATTTCATGAGGGAAAATGGAAAATCCTAATTCCAAATGAGTATCCTTCAAGGGCAAAAGTGTAAATCAGTTTGCCTTCTGTCTACTTCCTGTCCCTTTTCTGTGTTTATCTCCTTTCTTCCTGGATTCTTACCACCACCATTTTGTCACTGAAATTTTCTCCTAGCCTTTGACTTACATGTCTAGATAGAACCCAAATTTCCCCTTTCCTCCTTCACCACCAATTTCCTTAGGTTCTTGGGGAGACTGTGATGTCCCTTTCACACAAACAGTCCCTGGCTTGGACTATAACTGATAATCTGCTTTAACCCGAGGCAGTTTTGCAACTTACCTGAAGATTGTTCTGATTAGTTCACATGGTCAGGGAAATAAGAAAGATATTTATTAAACAAGTGTAGAAGCAGCTGGGAGTTCTACGGAGTGACAGAAAAGGTGTTGTTTTATTGTTGTTTTTGTTTGTTTACTGTACTGTAAGAAATAACTTATAGCCAACTGTGACTTTGGGTTAGGGTAGACTGAGTTTGGTTAGAACTATTAGCTTTCCTTGCCTAGAAAAAAAATTATATATATATACATAGATAGATATAACACTTTGTAGATCCCAGGAAATTTACAAAGCCTGCATTTTCTCTTTTCTCCTTTTTAAAAAAAAATCATTTTTGTTGCCCTGACTCTAAACTAATCATTACAAAGTTACTTCAAGAAGAAACAAGAATAACTTTCTCTTCTGTGGTTAACTTTTTAGAGCTTTTAGCCACTTGAGAAAGCCAGTCCAATACTGAAAAAATGTTGCAGAAAAGCCACTCAAAACCATCACCTACAAATATTTTAAGGTTCCTGAGTCTCTGAACAAGGCTCTTTGTGGGAGTTAATAGCAGAGGCAAATAAACTGCAACAGATACAAGTGAACTGTGGTTTGTAAAGGCTGGGGAAATGTTTATGCTTCTTTTCATTTTCCCTCCTATTGTATATAATGTAGAATTGGAGCTTAGCCACTGTTTCTGCTGTTATCTTTTTTTTTTTTTTAAGAGAGAAAAGCTTAAGTGATAGGTTCTAAGGTAAGTCTTTGTTTTCCAGTGACTCGAGACTGTACCAAGATTAACCTTCCACCCTGTGTAACCTAAATTGCAGGCACATGGTATTAAATCATCTGCCTTGGTAGGATTGACCTTGCAAAGCTATACCACCAAGTGCTCATGCCTCACACTCTCCCTTCCTTTGTAGCAAGGCTGGGGGGTTGAATGTGATTTCAAGTTTCTAGATCCAGCATTAACTCCACCCCATTCACCCCTCTCAAGAAAGAGTATCTTGTGTTTCTCACATCACACACCCCCTACGAATTCTGACCTTTCTCCATAGGGAATGAATGCCACCTCCCACACCCCTTGGCTCCCAGAAGCCATCCCAATCTTAAGGATTCTTGCAGGTAAAAGGGATTCTTGAAGAGAGAATCACTAGCATGAAGCTTCCATGGCAGAGTAGGTGAAACAAAGAAACATCTCTTCGTTCTTATCTTCTTTTTTTTTTTTTTTAATGTTTTATTTATTTCTAGGAGAGAGATAGAGACAGCATGAGCAGGGGAGGGTCAGAGAGAGAGGGAGTCACAGACTGAAACAGGCTCCAGGCTCTGAGCTGGCAGTCAGCACAGAGCCCGACGCGGGGCTCGAACCCACGAACCGCGAGATCATGACCCAAGCGAAAGTTGGACGCTTAACCGACTAAGCCACCCAGGCGCCCCTCTTCGTTCTTGTCTTCTAAGACTGTTGGCTGTTTCCCTCCCCCATGAACATTCTTCTCTTATTTATAAGATGACACCTATGTAAGTATTCTGGAAACAAGTTAGCTATTCATTTAACAGTGTGTCTGTGTGTTGTATAATTATTACTGGACAGAGCAACTATGCACAAAATAAATGTGTGCACATGCACAGGAGTATTAAAAAGGGTGGGGGAGGAGGATGTGTTGAAAGAAGAGAGCTTGGTTCTAAAATAAGACAGATCTGTTTTAATTTTTTAAATGTTTATTTTTGAGAGAGAGAGAGAGAGAGAGAGAGAGAGAGAGAGAGAAAGAGCATGAGCAGGGGAGGGGCAGAGAGAGGGAGACACAGAATCAGAAGCAGGTTCCGAGCTGTCAGCGCAGAGCCCAACGCAGGGCTGGAATGCAGGAACTGCGAGATCACGACCTGGGCCAAAGCCGGAAGCTTAACCGACTGAGCCATCCCTTTGGTTAACAAACTTTTAATTTGGGGACAAGTATAGATTCCCATTAAGTTTTAGGAAATAGTACAGAGAAATCCCTTATAGGTCTTTTACCCAATGGTAACATTTTGAATAGCTGTAGTGCAATATCACAACCAGAAAACTGACATTAAGACAATCCTAGGGCCTTACTCACAAGTCACTAGTTTTGCATATACTCATTTGTGTATTTAGTTTGGTGCAATTTTGTCACATGTGTCATCTGCTTTCGAAGCTCAGCTGTGCTAAGTACTAGCTGTGAGATCCTGAGCAAGCTCCCTAGTTTTTCTGAGGCCCAGTTTCCCCATCTGCAAAATGCGCATAATAATGTCTGTCTCCTAAAGGCAGTGTGAGGATTAGGCAAAGTCATTTCTGCGAGGTTTCCAGCACACTGGGTTCTCATTGAATGCCAGGTTCCTTCCTGTCGATCCCTCTTTCTTTCACTAGCAAGGGAACAGTCTACAGTTTCCTGCTGAAATAACCAGACTTGTGGGTTATAGTCAATCAGGTGGCTCCTTCAAGACCAACACATTTAACCTTGCTGTTGGAAGAGAGCACAGTGGATGTCACCTGCCCTCAGCTGCTGCTTCTTGGCCTGGGCTTAAGATCCCATCTGCATCCAGATCAGAAGGGTAGAGATGGGGGCGGGAGGAGTGAAAAAGGAGAGAAAGGGGAGCTGTGGAGTAGGGGTAGGAGGTGGTAAACAGTGAACAATCGTTGGCTGGAGAACTTCCAACCCCAAAGAATCTCCGTCCTGTGTGGCTAGTGACTGAGGGCTGGGATGTACCTGGGGAACGCCTGATGGGGTGGGAGCCTCTGAGCACACGGTGGGCAGGTGCGGAAGCCCGACTAGACCTGGCACCAGGATCACACTTGTCCCAGAGTTCAGGGTCAAGTCTAGAGCTTTTCATTCTCCTGGAGCCTCTTCCAATGAGGGCCAAGGGCCGCTCAAAGGCCAAGGAATCCAGGACTGTCTGGGGGCAAGAGAGGCGCCAGATTCCCCACCTTAAGGTTCCGCTGTCTGGAGGCGGAGGCCTTTCCTCCACACGGAGAGGTGGCTGGCTGGGTGTCTTCGGCGCAGCGGGGTGTGAACGGGCGCGTTCGCGAGGACAGACTAGAGGGCAGGGGGCGAGAGGTGGACGCACTGGCCCCTGTTCGGCGGCGACCTCAACGCGCCGATCTCCTCCACCTGCGCTCCGAGAACCCTGCGTTTTCCCAGTTCACGTCTCCGAAGCGGCCTCCCCAGCGTCACGCAGCAGCCAAGCCGGGACCGGGCTGCCCCGCGCTCCCGCTGCCTGAGCAGTCCCCGGGACCCGGGGCGCAGCCCCGGTGCAGGTGGGGGCCGGAGGGCGGACCCCGCGGGGGCCGGGGCGCCGCTCGGCGCTCCTCCCTCGGCCGCCCGGGCGCCACGGGCCGCGGAGGAGGAGCCGCGCCCCGGCCGGCACCGCCCTGGCTCCTCCTCCCCGCGCGGGCCCGGCCCTTCCTCCCCGGCGTCCGAAGCTCCGGGTGGCCGCGGCCGAGCCGGGAGCCAAGCGCGCTGGGCGCGGCCGTCCCGCCGCCGCCGCCGCCGAGCCCCGAGTGCGCGCGCGGCCATGGTCCCCGAGGCGGCGCCGGGCGCCTGAGCCCCGGGACGCGGTGAGCGAGGAGCCCCGCTCCCGGGACACCCCCCTCGCGCCCCGGGGCCTGGGGGGGGGGGCGGTGCGCGGAGGCCTCGCGCTGCCCCCCCGCGCCGTCGGCGAGGCCCTGCGCGCCCAGGGCGGACCCCTCACGGGGACCGGCTGGGGCTTCCCCTCGGGAGTGCGGGGCCGGGGTGCGCGCGGCGGGGAGGGGGCGCCTTCGCGGGGAGGAGGAGGGGCGGCCCCCGGCGGCGCGGGCTGCGCTGCCGGGGGGCGGGCCGGCGGGCGGGGAGGATGCGCGCAGCGGCCCCGGAGAGCCGCGCTTTTGTACGAGCTGGCTCCTTACATATGGAAATGACGCTCGCGCAGCTCCCCGGTCGCGTCCTTTTGAAGGACGCCCGCCCGGAACCGCGGCGCCGGCTGCGAAGTATTGTCGCGCTTCTTGAGCCCTAACAAAGCGTCCCCCTTCGCTTCGCAGAGCGCTGGAGGCGCGCGGCCGGCGGTGCGGGCGCGACGGAGAGGCCGCCAGAAGGTAGGCGAGGGCGGCGGGGGCCGGGAGAGCGCGCTGCCTGGTGACACAGTGGGGGTGTCCGCGGCTCCGGGGGGCGCACCGGGCGGGCGGCTGGGAGACGCATCTGCAGCACAGCTCTGCGGGGACCGGGGCGGCGCAGCCGAGGCCGGGATCCCCCGCCACCCCCGTGGTCCCAGCCCGCGGCCGCGAGCTGAAAGCGGCTACTGTGTGTGGACCCGGGAGCGGACTGGAGTCCAGAAGCAAGCAGAAAGGGTGGCGGCTCAGTGGCCCGGGGCCACCCAGGCAGCCTTGTGATTGAGCAGCTGAAGTGAACCTGTCTGGGGAAACCCGAGGTGATGAGCCTGGGCTCTCCGAGCCGCGGAGAGCCGTTGGGGGGCCCCCAAAGGGGGAATTTTAGAAGGTGCGTGGGAGAAATGCACTTAGAAAGACTTCCCCGGTGCAGTTACTAAAACCTAAGGGAAAAGGATAAAATGAAAATGACACTCGGTTATTGCCCGTAAGCCTTGATCGCCACACCGGTGGAATGGAAGAGTGGAGTGCAGCGGGAGAAGCGTCCAGGGTTCCCAGGGCTGGTCCCCGACAAAAGGACAGAGCTGCTTCTGTGAAGTTGAAAGCTAGAGAGGGAGAGACGTTTTCCTGGCCTCAGCCTTGACAAAGCTGGGTTAAGGTGCACATAACATAGGAGCTAGAGAAGTCACCCTACAACTACCCTGTTTAATACCTAAGCTATAATGGGATCTTATGCCTTCTTAACAGGGCCAGGGCAATTGCTGAGATGGATGTGCCATAGGAACTTCTGAGCTTTTGAAATCAAAACAGATCGCATGGTTGTCTTTTGTGACTGACATGGTAGATTTTTAGGATTCAGAATCCGGAGAAAGTCCATCATGGCACATGGGCTGAGCTCCTGAGGCCGTGGACGGTTTCTCGGTTGGGCTCCCTTAAATGTGTTAACATAAATTCATGCTGCTGCTTTCCAGAGGCTTGACAGTTTACAAGGAAATGAATTTTTTCTGTGTCAGCTTAATTTGATCTCGAGTCTTCTTTAGTGGTTTAGTGTATGGGTGAATGACCTGAAATTGTGGCAGATCTTGCTCCGGAGTTGGGGGTGTGTATCTGGGGATAACTTCCAGACTGTGTGTAAAAGTAACGTTACAGGCTGGCTGAAAAACCAGTTTGTTGTAGTCTCTTTAGCTGTTGTCATTGTTCTTAGGGAGGAAGAGTGAACCCCTGGGGTGTTTATTTGCAGATTTGTTTATTTTCACCTGTTCTCTGGTGATTCCTTGGGAGAAAGCCTTCTGAACCGCTGTTTTGGTAAAGGGTTGGACTTAACAGATGTTCCAAATGGGTTGGACATCAGTATATTGCCAAGGCAGGAGGAGGCTTTGGAGGGGCAATGGAAAGGAAGCCATCACAGGTACAGTCTTCGCATTAAAATGTCACGGGTCAGTCATTTTAATAGGCACTTGCTCAGAATGGCCCGGTGTCTTTCTTCTTGTTCTTTTTTCATTTTAGATATGTGATGACCCTGAACATCCAACCTTAATTTGATAGGCAATATTCTTTTTTTTTTTTTTAAATGTTTTATTTATTTATAGGAGAGAGAGAGAGAGACAGCGTGAGCAGGGGAGGGTCAGAGAGAGAGGGAGTCACAGACTGAAACAGGCTCCAGGCTCTGAGCTGGCAGTCAGCACAGAGCCCGATGCGGGGCTCGAACCCACGAACAGCGAGATCATGACCTGAGCGAAAGTCGGACGCTTAACCGACTAAGCCACCCAGGCGCCCCTGATAGGCAATATTCTTATCGTCAGTCAAATGCTGTTAAAATAAATTGTTTTAAATGTCACTGCAAATGACTTTCTAAACTAACATTTCAACGATCTTGATGCTTCCATTTTATGTTGGTAACGAAAATGCATTTTATCAGTCTGACATTGATCAGAGGTTGGCAAGTTTGGCCAGAGTATTTTACCAGGATTCAAGCCGCCTAAAGCCTTTTTAGGGGGTTATTTTTATAGATGCCAATTCATCTGTAAGCCAATAAATTATGTGGTTTGAATTCTGGCTATTGAGCTTGCATCTGTTGGGCAGAAGCTTGTGGGGAGACGGAAGCTTGCAAAAAGATGTTCTTATCTTACAAATAAAATAGAATTTGAGAAAGACTATGGGAATAGGAGCAAGCAACTTTTTTTGAAATTAGGACACTTCTTGTTGCAATATATATCAGCAGTTAATCATTTATTCAAGCTTTTGGGTGGAAAAATTAACAAAGTGTGTTCTAATGTTCCCATAAAAAACAAAGGTGGGAAAACCTGGTTTATAGATGTGGGAATAGAAGCTCTTCCTCAGGGAACTAGCTGCAGGCATTCTGGATTAATTCAGGTACATGTAGCTTAAGAAGTGAATGTTGTTATAAGCAGTCTCTTTTCAGAAAGTAACAAGCACCTGGGTGGCTCAGTTGGTGATGCGTTGGACTCTTGATCTTGGCTCAGGTCATGATCTCATGATTTGCGAGATGACAGCACAGAGCCTGCTTGGGATTCTCTCTCCCCTCTCCCTCTGCCTTTACCCTGCTTCTGCAGGCTCTCTCTCTCTCTCTCTCTCTCACTCACTCACTCACTCACTCAGTCTCACTCTCACTCAAAATAAACATTTTTTAAAAGTCACAAACAGGTAGCTCTGTTTTTCTGTGTCTGTAATTTTACTTAGTAGCTGATTGCAGGTTACTGACGCTACAAGGTGCTAGCCTAATGATTTTGTTCTCCAGCTGCCCTGAGTTAACCAGCTGATTGGTAATCCACCTAGCTCTTAGGCTTACCAAAAGCTTGGGGTTGGTACACAGCAATATACTAAACCCCGAAATCCTAAAACCTTTTTTAATGCTTTAGAATAAATGCTAGGAAGACATCCTTAGTTGAGTTCAATTTTATAGTGTAGTTAACAGAGGTCGTTATTTCAAATTTATTTAATGTGGCTTTTTTTTTTTTTTTAATTTCTGTGCAGTGGCATTTAATCTTTTGTGTTCTCTTTTTATGCCATGATTTTGTTCTTGGTGATACTCTTGTGCTTGAGATCTCCAGCTAGAAGTGAGGTACTCTCAGAACCAAGAGGAGGCTACCTGACAGGAGTCATTTTGATGAGTAGCAGTAGTTTCTGGCAGAAATATTCTATATAAATGTAATGTAAATATAGATATATAGACATGGAGATGAAAAAAAGACAGTTGCTTTTTCCATTAAGCTGTTCCTGAACTTGAGTATATTCTTGTCACTGTTTCATTTTACACTGAAATGAGTCCAAAATGTTAAGACTGGAGATCTTTGCAATTAAAGTGTTTGCAGAAAAGAGGGAAGAAAAAGAAACGCTTTAATTTGATCATTGGCATTATGAGGCTCTGGCCAAATGGTGAAAGCTTAAAGGCATGAATGAAAAGCTTTCCCAAAGCAGGATTTGTCCATGTTCACCACTTTGGTTATAAAGTAACTAAATTAGTCACTTGGTGGCCACTGCCTGGTCTGCGGGCCCCCAACAGCTCTGTCTGAACACAAATCTGAAAGCATCTATTATGATACCCAAGGAAAGCGGCCGAGCCAGGAGGGGCCTCCAGACATTGCACATAGCTGTTCAGCTGCTGGACCATCTGGAGGGAAATAAAAGGCCTGGACCAGGGGCTATGGCATTGTGCTCATTTATTATTTGGTTTTCCCTTGCCAGACTTTGTCCCTTTTCCACTCCCTCTGGCCCACAACAAACATCCCCTTTGGCTGGGGTGCCATTCTTACAAGCTCCTTTCTGTACCTTGGATGCTGGAAAGTTCATAAGTTCATGTATCCACTTCATGTTCGCCTCATGTTGGGGACTTCATTACTCTGGCTGGACCTCCACCTATTTCTTTTCAGGCCCAGTTGGCACTGATTTCATCAGCCGGGGTTGCCGAGTGGAGCGCAAGGACACAGATCTGTAATGGCCATCCCTGTCAGGTCTGCACGTTTTGGCAGCCTTGTTTGGAGTTATTTGGAAGGAAAGTTCTCCAAATAGTTCTCATTATGGGTGGTTATTGGGTGGTAAATGTTTTGATTAATGGCTCGGTGCATCTGCCTCTTATTTAACCATCCCTAGTTAAAACTCCAAAATATTGCTTACACCGACCCTTCTCTTCCAAAGGAATTATAAAAGCTTCTGTCAATTTTATTGGGAAGGTAGATAGCAACAAGAGGCCTTGACTTGTGGGAGGCTTTATAAAACTGGAGTTATTCTTGGCAATTTGAAGGAGGCTTTATTACTCAAAATCCAACTTTCTTCATCTCTGAGTAAGATTTCTGTCACTGGTGGGTGTTAGGTAGGCTTTAACTAAGGAAAGCATTGATTGCACAGACAGACCAGACATACTTAAGCATTTTGAGGAAGTAATTTAACAATTATCAATTTCTGTGCTGTGCCCACTGTTGAAGATCTGGAACTCTTCATGGTCATTTTTATATAAAATTTTATTTCTTCTTTGCTCTAAATCCCTAAGCTGCTTTGGAAAAAAGAGGATGCTTATTCTACACATCTCTGGTGTCTTATAATTATTCAGTAAGTGGATTAAGAGGAGTAGTGAGGAAGACCCCCCCCCCCCCCACCATCCTTCCCCATTCCAATTTGGAGGAGTTTGTGGCCCTCAGGTTTTCATGGTGGTTTCTGGGACTTAGTGCTGTTTCATTGCTGAACACATTAAGGTGGAGATAAGTGATTTGTCAATGATGTCCTGCTCATGTGTTCTGTGTGCACGCATAGGACCGAGAGCTAGTATAATTTAGAGTCAGACCAGAGTTCGATCTCAACTTCATCCCCATATTAGCATTGTGTCCTTGGAGAAGTTGCTTACTTTTGCCAAGCCCCAGTTTCTGAATCTTAAATTGGAATATGATATCTACTTTAAAGAATTAGAAGGATTACATGAGATCATTTATGTAAAGTACTCAGCATAGGCCAGTTACAGTAGATGTTCAGAAGTTAAAAAAAAAAAAGTTTCTTCTTAACCCCCATCAATATTTCAGCCTTTCTGCTTTTGATTGATGTCAAATTTCTCAATAATCTGCCTTTTAAGATGAAGGAGCACTGAGCCTTACCTGTTGCCATTGACCATTTAGTAACATAATGTTGTTTATGTGCATAATATCTGCCCTGCGCATTCTTGCTGTCTCTGTGGCATTCCACAGGTCCTGCTTTGCTTCTTTGAAAGCAGATCTAGGGCTGGCTGACTTCAGTTCACCCCGCCTTTGCCAGTTGCAGGTATTTTCTTGGTTGTTTTCTCAATTCCCCTCTTGTATCGACTTTCTCTGGGGTCATCCTCTCACTTGCTTGCCATCTTTAACCCTCGGGACAGCCCTTCCAGACGGGTATTATTGTTCCCATCTGTATATATTGTTCTATAAACAAGGGGACTTGGGACAGTGGTTTAGTATAGATTCTCTTCCAAAGTCACATCCTATAACCGCTCCCCTCAAAACAAACAAAAATTACAGCCCTCGTCTATGAATCCATTGATTTAATTACTAGCTCCTTAATCAAACTCCAGACGGTTCTAGATGCTACAGTTTGGCAGTGGGTTCTGGCTTACTCCTCCTGATTCGTGATGTCCAAGATGGAAAATGCCTTTGAAAAAAAAGGCTCAGATGGGGAAAGGAGAGATGTGCTTGTGGAAGAAATGGGCATTTCATTTCACAATCTTCATAGGCTCATTTCATCACTCATTCAGGGTAAGGTTCCACTCATGGAATCTCCCTACACTACATCTCTGGTGTGAGGAACAGACTCCGCTATGCATTTGGGGGAGGATATAAAAGAAAGAAGTTGTGGACCTTGTCCTTACAGAAATTTCTGCCAAACAGGGAGGAAAAAATTCTTGCACATGAAATTAGTCACGAACATTTGGGGAATAATATCAACCAGGAAAAAAAAATGCATTCTGTGCCAAACAAGGACTGACAACTTGTCACCATATGTAACATCTTCTGGATGTTTCCGTATGCTCATTTGTTCCACAGGGTTGGGGCTGTTTTCCCCCTTCAGTCAAAAGAATGTTCCAAAGCGCAGTATCTTGGGAAGGAGGGAGATGAAAAAAAGAGATAAAAAAGGAAAGCTGCTGTGAAATGAGATTTGATTTAGTGAAAATCCAGTGACCTCCCAAAAAGCAGGGCATGATAGCTTCTTGAATTCAAAGCCATGGATAAGATCAGGACTTCTCAGTACATTATGAGTTTTAGGGCCCTCTTTCATTGGTCTAAATGAACCAATCCGCATGCCTTAAAAATAATTTTAAAAGGCAGAAATGTTTGAATTCTATCACACTTGAGGGTTTTTTTTTTAATATGCAAAACCAACTAAAAGCAAAATAGTCTGCCTTTTATGAAGTTGGTCAGATTATAGCCCAGGGGACTATACAATTCAGAGTGAGTCTGAGAGCCACGGCAACCCTGAAAATCCCAGGGCACCTGGGGAGTCTCAGATCCTAGGCGACAACAAACTGGCAGACTCTCATTAGCCAGGCAATGGCCTTGTCTAAATTTCTAACTTTTGTGGCTTCACTTAACACCTTGGAGTTTCTTTTCTGATGCTCTGATGTTTATATCGCACTCTCAACTTATTTTGAAAATATTTGCATGGTGATTAGTTCACCCAACAGACCAATCCTGGGAAGGCAGCCAGAGCCCACAGCACCTAGTAATAGAAAAGCTGAGAATTAAAAGAAGGACACTCCCCTCCCCCCCATCCCCAGACCAAGAGCCTGGACCTAAATGGTGCCACTTTGCCTTAATGAGCGGCTGCAGTTCACATTGAGTAGTGGCCGTGCCGTTTGAATCCACCTTGAGTCCATGTTGTTTTGCTGAAACTGAGGATGGTCATGGCTCTGTTTTAGCTTGTGATGTTTTGGACGGCAGCCCAGAGCAGCACTGATGTCGTACGGAAGCCTCACTCATTTTCAGTCTGGCCATGTTCAACACCTGACCTTGCCTGTTGCCCGTGTTTCCCATCTGGTATATGCATATCGCCCATGAATTAGAGAGCTTTCTTACTCAGGGCTTTTGTTAGTTAAAAATGCTGCTTTGAAAACTAGAATGATGCTTGCCTGGGGGCTGGGGCAGGGGGCAATGGGAAATTGTTCTGCAGTGGGTACAAAGTCACACGAGATGAAAAATCTTCTAGAGATCTGCTGTACAGCAGTGCACGTATAGTGAACACTGAAAATTTTGTTAATAAATTTTTCTTAAGTTAGATTTCATGTTATTTTTTTTTTATCACAGTAAAGCTTGTATGGGCAAGATAAGTATATTTTTTGAAAGTGCTGCTTTTTATAGTCAAGGGGCTGATGCCGAGAGCCTGGTTTAGATGGCTGAAGTCATCGTCTCGGGAATAGGTTGTGTTTGGCTTCCGTTGCATCATGGTGAAGGTAGCTTCAGACGTGTGCACATTTCAGGCTCTCATTGGAAGACCCACCATGTTAAAAATGAATTCTTGTACAACCAAAGAAACTCCTAGATTTCACTCTTAAAATATGAGGTACCTAGAATTTTATGATGTCTATTTTTAGCAGAAGTGATTCTGAGTTGATAATCATGAGCCCATGTTTTTATTGGTCCTATGGAAGGTGGAGAAATGGAAAACCTGGGGTTGGGGGATTGAAAAGATGGAAGACAGACTAACCCGGTGTACAGACATGAGGCGGTCTGCGTAGTGGAAGTTGCCTGAGATCCTGTATGATTCATATTGTCTGTGGCTCCTCTGAAGCTTGCAGTCTGAAAGGTGGGAAGAGTGTTTTCCCCTTTCTCCAGGCAATTAGGCATTGCCTAAACCTCCCAGGACCGAAGCGAGCTGCAGGGAATACCCTTCCTGTCACACCTCCGTAATTGCACCAGTGAAGTTAATTGCACTGCTTTTGGGGGAACTTGTGTAAAAGGCATTGTGTTTCATGTAAACAGGGACGTGGTTTTGTGTTGTATCTTGCACGTTCATCCAGTGCCTCTTGCTGCAAGCCTCTGGGCTAACTGAGCATCTAGGCTGACCCAAGTGGAACTAGATAGCCCGGCCACAGCGCAGGCATCTGGGCAGGTAGTCTGGAGCTCGCCGACTTGCCTGGCAGCTCGGACCCCGCAGCCTCTCTCGGTGCTAACAGTTTGGAAGGACTGAGTGTCAGAAGTGGCCTTTTGCCTTCTGTACATCCAGGGTCTCATGAGCTGATAGAGAAGCGCTTTCAGCCTTGAGTTTGAGACTGGCCGCCTGCCCGAGGACCAGGCAGGAAAGGAGACTCCCTCATTCTGGTAACGTTACCCTGTGTGACCTGACCTGTGACTGTGGCCCTGGTGTGAGTGCCTGTGTGGGAGCTCGGCTGGCCAGGGCTGGCTCCTGGAGGGACCTGAGGGCTCGCTGGGGGTGGGTTGGTGGGGGGGGTGTGGCGTCGCCTCCTGCCAGCCTCCACTGAGGTCCTGATGGACCAGCATCGGGGCCAGGATGTACGGAGCCTTCAGAGGGGGCTGACGAGGGCAGGGGTAGGACGCCTGGGCTGCCACCACTCGCCCTTGTCTCTGTCGCCCGCAGGTGAGCGCCGTGGGCTATGGGATGGATGAGGTGGAGCAGGACCAGCATGAGGCCCGACTCAAGGAGCTGTTTGACAGTTTTGACACGACGGGCACCGGGTCCCTGGGACAGGAGGAACTCACCGACCTTTGCCACGTGTTGAGCTTGGAGGAGGTGGCCCCGGTGCTCCAGGAGACGTTGCTTCAGGACAACCTCTTGGGCAGGGTAAGGTCTGGGGGAGAAGGCAGGTAGCGGGAAGTGGGTGCAGCTTCTGTCCGGGTGGGGGAGGGGTGCAGAGCACGCGTGTCGCAACCTCTAACATCCTGGCTGTGTGTGCCCCTAGCTGTTATAACCTGATAAGCAGAAAGAAAAAACCAAATGGGTGGGACCCAACAGTGTGGTTTGCTCGCGTGGTGAGGGCCCACTGGAATTTGTGCTCTGGAAGAAAGGTGTGCCCCGAGCATCTTAGATGAAGAGAGAGAAAAAGCATGTTTTCCGACTCTTGTTCACTGTGGATCATTTTACGGACTCTCTATTCATCGCTGGGGCAGAAGGAGGGAACTGAGATTTCCCTTGAAGAGAAGGAAAACGCAGCAAGCAAATTGCCCCTCACAGGATGAATAGATTGCTGTTATGACTTTTACTCCCAATAAGCTATTTTGTGTGCAGATTGTTTCTGGGGTGAAGTATTAATTAAACCTTTCACCTAGGAAATAAGACAGGAGGGTAAGTAAATACAGTGCAGGTTCATTTAAAACCCAGCACGACTTGCTTCCAGCAGGGATGCATGTGTGCTGATGTTAACTTCTGCATTTGACAACAAATAGTCATGTTGTCCCCACAGATCAAGTGACAGAAATGAGTAGGAAGTGAGAAGAGGCCTTTTTTTTTTTTTTTTTTTTTAACCTCCTGCTGGTAGCGGAAAGGGTGTTCTGTCTCGACCTCATATTGCCTTCAGTTTCTGTAATTATAATTAAGAGCATCATTTGTAAGGCTTTGGGTTGAGTCTTGCTGCTGATTTTTGGAAGGGATGAGAGGAAGAAATGGGCATTGCTGTTTGAGCTCTGTTGTCATTCATGACGATTCCTAGACAGTGGTTTTTATCATGTGGTGTAAATTGAGGAAGGAGGCATGAAGCTCAGCTTTATTCCAGTGACTAAGTTTCCTTTTCTTTTATTTCATTTTCGCTGTCTCTTAGTTGACAAGTTGGGTAAGTGACCTCAGATACAGTAAGATGTATTGGCTGTCTGTGACAGGAGACAGACCGGGATAGCAATCATCTTGAAATTAATGTACAAAGGATGCTATTCCCAGGGATTGGAACTATGAACATCATATTTAACAGGGTTAAAGAAAAACAAATGTGAGGTTGTTTGTTTGCTTGTTTGTTTTGCAAAACTGGAACCATTCTTGGCCACTCTGGGGAGAGGGATTAGCTGCTTGTGAAAACATGTAGTTGCTAAAATGTGCTAAAAATCTTGCTTCAAAAGTCAGAGAATTGGGAGGTTTGAGGATTAAATCATTTGCTCCTCATCACGTAACGCGCTCAAATGTGTTTTCATTCTGTCTCCATCTCGGACACCTTAGGGAGATAAGGGAGTAGCGGTTCCCACTTGGCCCTTGGGGATCTCGGCCCCTTTGGTGTATAAGGAATAGTACCAAGGGTGGTTCTGTTTCAGTGCTTATTAAAGCCTGAGAAAACCTGATACAAACTAAGGGTTCCTTGAGAGTTGTGCCCGCGTCAGCGTAAATACAGAACCCTCTGCTGTTCACAGAATGCACCTTAGCGCCTTCACAGTTTGCTCTCCAGATGTTGCACATCTTTGTCCTCATTCTGCAAACTAAAACCGGGGAACAGTTATCGATTGATTTGTTAACGACTTGACACTATCAGCCTGCTTTTTACGTTTGCTATTTGCCTGTGAATAATGAATACCTAAGTGGTCTGTAGCCTGATATTTACTTAGCGAGCCTGTGATAAAAGTTAAATCGATGTATGCATATTGATTTCACGTGGGAGGTCCCTGGTGCCTGTCTTGAGAGCAGGGTTGGCATGAATTAATGCACTACTTTTCGATTTGCATTTTTTATGAAACTGAATTATTCTCCTCAGATGATCACATAAACTTGGCCATATGCTGTTAAGATACTCTATATGGTCTATAGTTTTAAGTTCTAAGGAAAAAATCCCTTGGAATTCACTGAAGAATTCTAAGTGTTGGGTATGGATTGTAAGTTGTAAAATGGTAAGTTGTTTTCAATGCCAATCATCTTCTCTTTAGAGGTGTTTATAAAAAAAAGTTAAGGGTTAGGGATTTGGTTTAATAAACAAGGAGAAAGAAATAGTAGCATGACAAATCTAAATATATTCATCTATGTATTAATTCAACAAATATGTATTTTGTGTGTCCTACATGTCAGGCATCCTGCTAGTTTGCGTAACTTATTTATGTATATCGTAGACTAAGATTTCCCCATGAAATTGGCTTTTGGATACAGTAGTAGCCAACAGGTTCCTGGATGCTTAGGGTTTAAATGTATCTTTAAATTTTAATGAGTGTTATTTTTAAATAAAACTTCCAAATTTACCTTTATTGGAATTGGGCTGAATTAGTCATTTTTTTTCTTGAAAAAGAAATAAGCTAAAACGCATTGTCTTCCTCAATAAGAATATGAACATTTTCTGTTTATTTTTTGTTTTAAAATCCATCTGTAAAGAATTCCTGGCTTTTCTTTTTTAAGCCTGATGTTTCTTTTGACAGTTGTTAAGGAAAGTAACTGAAATTGACTTGCCATTTTCACGCATTTTACTACAAGGCCATTCAGCCCTTTCAATTCATCTGTCTGATCTTGCTTTATAACTTGAGGCCATATTCCCCTGAGCATAGTGCTTACTATATAAGTGTTCGCAGTCCCTGAGGATTGTGGGTCACTGATTTGAGGGAAGCAGGACACTGCTGGTAGTTGTTTGCTGCAACATAACCCAAAGAGCTCCATCCTTACTTAGCTTTGTCAGTAGTGAAGCACCTGTCAGGTGGGTAGGAGTCCAAGACCAGGGGCTCTTGAAGACACTGAAGAACTTCCAGTCTGGTCAGTTAATGTGCCTGGCAGGTGGATAGTCCTGGGAGCAAATACTGCAAACATAGAAGAAAACAGAGCAGCATTAGCTCTTTTATTGAACCAAGTTTTGATCCTAGCAATTGATGTTGGTCATAGGTCCTTCCTGGTCTTTTTGTATCTTCGAAATGAAATGTTTTCATTTGCCTTCCTCTTTTATTAGCCATCAGGACATAAGTATAATTTACCTTGGTTTTATTGAAGGTGTTATTTATATAGTTTTAAAAACAGATTTTCCTTTACTTATGGAATATAGCAACTTCGAGACAAAATAGCCCCCAAGGTTCTGAGGAGTTTCCTTGCTGTACTCTCTGATATGAATCTGGATGCTGAAGCGTTCCATGTCTTTGGCACTCTTTAGAATCAAAACAGGCCACCTGGTAGCAGAACTTAACCATTGGCTTCCAAAGAGTCCCATACGTGTATGGACTCTGTTCATCAAAGGCGCTTTGAAATTTTTAGTTTTAAGATCTAATAGCTTTACAAATGTGTAATTAAACTCAGATTTCCCATCTTTGTTTCAAAGTGTTGGGGAGGGTCTTTTGTAAATATCATGATGAATTTCATGTGGTAGACTTACTTGTTTGTTTCCAGTTCATTAAAGGCTTTTTCAGATATTTTTCTCTTATACATATTTTAACCATTTTCTTTCTCTTGTACATATTTTAACCATTTGAAAAGTAAATCAGAAATACAGAAGTGCTTTCTGGTAGTGATTATTTGGGTTTGTTCTCTGTGTGCAAAATTATGCTTGATCATCAAATAGTGCCTGTCTATAACTACCCCATGTTCATCCTCCTATCTCATATTGATCTGAGGCTTGTTGAATGCATTGGAGGAAATGGTGGAAACATTTCTCATCACGTCTCTTAGTAAATGCCTGGACCTTTGCTGTATCTTACTGTGTAACCACCATAGTTTAACCTGATATGGTGAGGGATATTTTCTGATTCCCATTTTGTCTTGTGACTCTGTGTAAACCATCACTCCCTTCTTTTCCAATTATCTCCCATTAGAGTTGACTTGAACTCCTAAGGGTCTGTAGTTCCCATTTGTAGATAAGAAGACAGTCTGATTAAGAGGCTGCAAGATTTACTTCTATTCTGTATTAATACTTTGTTGTCAAACTCATTGCAAAATTAACTTTGGCTTTGTGTGCTGTGAACCTTGAGTCTCTCAGAGGTTTTTAGTCTGATGGGAAGGCCTTTAGCTCCCAGCGAGAGGTGGGCACACGTGCTGAAAGACTGTTCTCTCCTACCTGCTTTATTTCAGTAATGACTGTCTCTTTCTCTGGAGAAAGTATGGTGCAGAAGGCTGATCTGATTTCTGCAGTATTCTACTGATACTTTTACGAGTAACTTCTTGTCTGGACAGAGGGGACTTCATGTTCTTTTGTGTCCATCACAGATTTTAGACTTCAGTGTTCATCTGTATGACAGAGAAACCTTAGAAAGAGAAATTGGAAAAGTACATTGACATGTCCAAGGTCAGGCAACTCAGTTGAAGTGGCAGCAGGATAGGAACCCAGATTTCCCCATCCCTGAATTTGAATGCATGTTTTCACAGCCTCCTTGGACTCCAGATATGCAAGAATGAATCTCATTCTCCACGTCCCCTCCCCATCACCGCCACTACCACATCAAGACAGTATAGTATTAGAGCACAGTCTTTGAAGTCAGATCTGGATTGAAGTACTGATTCTTGCCCCTTTTTAGCCCTGTAGGACTAGGAGTGGAGAATGGATTTGCTAGAAACTCTGGTATGGCAGTGGTTGCATCCATCTCCATCTGTAGGCAGGGCCTCTTGGACCAGTCTTGGAGTATGACTTCATGCAGTTGCTTTAGGTTTGGACTTGCCTTTTATTTTTATTAAACATTTTTTAAAGTTTATTTATTTTGAGAGAGAGAGAGAGAAAGAGAGGGAGAGAGGGAGGGAGGGGAGGAGGAGCAGAGAGAAAAAGAGAATCCCAAGCAGAATCCCAAGGCCTTGATGTGGGGTTCAAACCTGTGAATTGCGAGATTGTGACCTGAGCCGATAGCGAGTTGGATGCTTAACCAGCTGAGCCACCCAGGTGTGCTGTGGACTTGCCTTTTACGATGGCCTTGCCC